TCAATTTTTAATTAAGTCTTAAGAAAAAAAAAATACAAAGAGGAATAACTCCATCGGAAAAGTTGAGAGCACCCAGGATCATTTCGGCAAACAGCTTGTCAGGCCAAAAAACCAACAAACATGTAGGTCGCTTTGTCTTTAGAGAAGCAGGAAGGTCTAGTTTTCAAGAAACTGGGTCCACTACACATTTTACCTTGAGATTACAGATTATGGCTACTGGAGATGAGTAATCTATAAATGTTGTATACTGCTCTTGTGAATGAAAAGTGACCACATAGGCCGAGTTTGGTCGTGACCTCCTTGTCCTGATGTGCTTCGGCCGAAAAGCGAAAAACAGTTGTCGTTCCAGGACGCTTGTTTCCGGTCTGACGACTAAACCGTGTGTGTTCAGCTTCACTTCCAAATAAAGTGGCAAAAGGAGACAACCTGGCAAAGCTGTTGGCTCGTTTGCAACTTAAGCTATTTTTGGCTCCATCGGAGATGGGAGATTCAGTATATGTGCATTAAGACACGTAGCAGCAGCTGCTGGGCGCCGGCTGAAGCCAATGTCGTATTCATAAAAATGATGATGATATGACCAAGAGCTATGACAGTTTGCTTTTTTTTTCTATATCCTTGAGGCTAATTTTTGCATAAACTTCTCTTTGGAGTAGTGTGTTCCTACCTTAGAAAATATATGTAAGACCGGCCCTATGAGTCGGTCCTCTGTGAGATCACAGGCTGGGAGCTCGTGTGGGTCATGTGACAGGCGCGTGCTGGGCACTCACTCTCTGATTGGCCACGCAGATGATCCTGGCGTAGCAGCAGATCATCAGGAAGATGAGGCTGAAAAGGGGCACGTACCATCTGCAAAGGCAGGGAAAAAGAACAAAAATAAATAAAAGCACATAATTTAATTAAACTTATCGCATGCGCCTGACTCTACCCCAAGATGATTCATGGACCAATTTAACAAAATAAGTGTCCAGTGTTGTCCAAACAGATTAGACTTGAACCACATGCATAAAAATTGCAAATAAAAAATAGAATTAAACAAGCAATTAAAATTCTTTGTGCGGGACTGAAATTTAAGAGAGCCAACGTGGACAGAAGCTTATTCACTGTCAACGTCTCGCTTTTGTTTTGAAAAGGAGCCCTTCTCGGACTTGTTACCACACATTACATGTAATTTTGAGATTATTGTGACACATTATTAATGACAGCTCAGAGAGGAAAAGGCCTGACTGGGCAGCTCCGGACCTGAAAGCGCACAGTTTCAGTGAGTCAAGGCTCAGAACAAAAGGGAATGCCAGCAAAGCCACAACACCGGAAATACCTTGTGCTCCTATGGGATAAAGGTTTGCCAATCACGGCAGGCGTGGGTGAATAATGTGTCAGGTATTTCTGAGCCGATGAAAGGGAGCGAGCCGAGCAGGGGGAAATGGGATGATGGCTTTGTTGGAGTGGCAGCCTCGCGTTGTGCAATCTCTTGGGAGGTGATATAAGCTATGAAGGGTTTCAACCTCTCCCTATAATCACGAAACGGCTCTTTGTCTCACTTTGACGGACAGGTACTCGTGGCCACCACTTCTCTGCTCCGCCTCGCTTATGTTAACGCGCATTGAGGGGAAACTGTTGAGTTTAGTAAAAAAAAACTACCATCCGAGACTGTCAAAACCAAACACCCCGCCCAAAAAGGCCCAAACACGCTGATGGCGCTCCGATGTCCACCTTTTTTTTTCTTTGCGTAAAAACCGAGAAGTGTGACGGCGAATGAAATGGCCCTCATTTAATATTCATGACCACAAAGTTTTAGCAGATCAACCAGCTGAACGCTTTGGAGCGTACATACCGGGATGAGGGTCCGGGTAAAGGTCCCGGTCGAGCTTTTGGCCTTAGCTCGACTGCACCCTTACGCACCTCGCGATTTACGCAAACGTCACCTGATACGGATTCTCAACGGTGGGAATCAACACCACCGAATGTAATCATTAAAGCAGAAGCTGTTACGCTGACATTTAAAATCGAGGCGTCTCTGACCTATAAATGCATGGACTCTCTCTCGATGAAAAAAAAATAATAATTTAAAAACGCACGGGGAATAAACGCCTGCCCGAAAAGTCCTTGGCATGTGTGCTAAATCTTCATCTTTTCAGATGCGTCTCAAAAGGCAAATACTAGGTCCTTGGCCTAATTTAAGCTTGCCCATCTGCGCCTCCCATGCCTGAGGACGGAAAGGAACTCACGGAGCATTATCAAATTAAACTCCTTATTGGCAGGGGAATCTGAGATGGCATGCCTTTCTTCCAGCACGGCATTAAGGCAGAGGGAGGGATGCTGCATTATACAGGACGGCGCCCTCACATCTTATAGCTGGCATAAACACGCCAAGGATTCTCTCTCTCTCTCTTTCTCTCTCTGTCTCTCCCTCTCGCTCATTCTGAACGCGTGCGTCTGATCGCGTGCGCCTGTGCGCGTCCGCGCGGGTTCAATAATGGCATGGGACGATGATGAAAGCGTTTCAGGGGAGACCTGCGCGAGCGTCACCTCGGTGTGATTTAATAACCTGCTATCCGGAATAAACAGCGTCCAATTACGCCAGCGCACGTCCTGTTAATGATGGAAAGACGAGCTGGGGAGGGGGAGGGAGGGGGGGGGGGGGGGGGGGGTCGGTGGGTGTGATGGTGGGGAGGAGAAGGGAGGGGGTGGCCTTTATAACGATAGTGTAGGGGGCTGTGAGGAGGAGAGAATGACGGGCGGCAGCTACAAAGTGCTCTAATTAGCATGATAATGATCTGCCATTAGAGTCTGCTGTGCTCTACAGCTGAGCACTACCCGGAGAGAGCAAGAGGGAGACGGAGAGGAGGAGAATGAAATAGAAGCGGCGAGATGGATTCGGAGTGGGCAGCGGATGATAAAAGTGAGGAGATGAATAGAGGTGAGGACGCAGAGGCAGCCGGGTGACGGTGGACCGTGGCTCGGGAACAGAAGGCGCGG